CTGCTGTGAACAAAAGGCTATTGGGAGGCAGTGTGCGAGAGTAACAGCGCTCTGTCCCTGTGTATGTATTTATATTTAGAGTAAACGTTCTAACAATTTTATATGTTATAAAATATGTTTCAGCTCGGCTAGGCGCGAGGCTCACGCCTGTAATCCTAGCTCTCTGGGAGGCCGAGGCGGGTGGACTGCTCAAGGTCAGGAGTTCGAAACCAGCCTGAGTGAGACCCTGTCTCTACTAAAAATAGAAAGAAATTAATTGACCAACTAAAAATCTATATACAAAAAATTAGCCGGGCATGGTGGCGCATGCCTGTAGTCCCAGCTACTCGGGAGGCTGAGGCAGGAGGATTGCTTGAGTCAGGAGTTTGAGGTTGCTGTGAGCTAGGCTGACACCACGGCACTCACTCTAGCCTGCGCAACAAAGTGAGACTCTGTTTCAAAAAAAATAAAAATTAAAATAAAAAAATAAAATGTTTCATACATTTTATTTTCTTTTTTTATTTTTATTTTTTAAAATTAAAAATTAAATTTACTTATATTTTTAATTTACCCTTACATGTTCCTATAGAGTCTGATCTATTTTCTATTTGGAGTTATTTTTGTAATTCTTTTGCTTCTCCTACCAGAGTACGTGCTCCTTGAAGGTTTGGTGTATTCTCATTTGGCATTGCATCCCCCATGGCACTTAGTAAGACATCATCTATGATAATAATACATACTTTTTTTTTTTGTTTTTGAGACAGGGTCTCACTCTCACCCAGGCTAGAGTGCAGTGGTGTGATCAGAGCTCACCACAGCCTCAAACTCCTGGGCTCAAGTGACCCTCCTGCCTCAGCCTCCCAAGTAGCTGGGACTACAGGCATGCGCCACCATGCCCGGCTAATTTTTTCTATATATATTAGTTGGCCAATTAATTTCTTTCGGGGTCTCGCTCTTGCTCAGGCTGGTTTTGAACTCCTGACCTCGAGCAATCCGCCCCCCTTGGCCTCCCAGAGAGCTAGGATTACAGGCGTGAGCCACGCGCCTAGCCGAGCCCATTCTTTAGACCAGGGGTCCTCAAACTTTTTAAACAGGTGGCCAGTTCACTGTCCCTCAGATTGTTGGAGGGCCGGACTATAGTTAAAAAAAAAACTATGAACAAATTCCTACGCACACTGCACAGATCTTATTTTGAAGTAAAAAAACAAAGGGGCAAAAACACCTGCGTGTGGCCCGCGGGCCGGAGTTTGAGGACGCCAGCATTAGACCACTGACTTAAATCGTCTCTCCTGGCCATGTTGGTGTTCAGTAAATACTTGCTGATTGAATGAGTGGATTCAGAATCCTTTGTACCTTAGTATCTGACCACACGGTGCGGCTGAGGAGCTAAGCTACCCTTTTACCTTTGTGTCCTAGCCCTCTAGCAGAGTCTGCAACAGAGTAAGTCAATGATGTCAAATGACACAGCCCCAAATGTCCAATGAACAGTAGCAGCAGCCCTTGATTAACCACCAAAGGAGGAGTTTAGCTTCCACAGGCAGTGGGAGAGGGGAGGGGGTTAAGGGGACTGCAGATTATTTATTTATTTATTTTTGAGACAGAGTTTCACTTTGTGCCCAGGCTATAGTGAGTGCCGTGACGTCAGCCTAGCTCACAGCAACCTCAAACTCCTGGGCTCAAGCGATCCTCCTGCCTCAGCCTCCCGAGTAGCTGGGACTACACAGGCCATGTGGCACCAGCCCGGCTAATTTTCTCTTATATATTAGTTAGCCAATTAATTCTTTTCTATTAATAGTAGAGACAGGATCTCGCTCTTGCTCGGTGGTTTCGAACTCCAACCTTGAGCAATCTGCCCGCCTCGGCCTCCCAGAGTGCTGGGATTACAGGCATGAGCCACCACACCCGGCTGGTCTGAATACTTTAAAAAAAAAAAAAAAGAAAGAAAGAGGCTGAGTGCGGTGGCTCATGCCTGTAATCCTAGCACTCTGGGAGGCCGAGGTGGGCGGATTGCTAGAGGTCAGGAGTTCAAACCCAGCCTGAGCGAGACCCCGTCTCTACTATAAGTAGAAAGGAATCAATTGGCCAACTAATATAGAAAAAATTAGCCGGGCATGGTGGCGCATGCCTGTAGTCCCAGCTACTCGGGAGGCTGAGGCAGGAGGATTGCTTGATCCCAGTAGATTGAGGTTGCTGTGAGCTAGGCTGACGCCAGGGCACTCACTCTAGCCTGGGCAACAAAGTGACACTCTGTCTCAAAAAAAAAAAAGATAAATAAAAAAAAAATAAACGCCCATGCCATGTGTGTCATGTCAATCCTCACAACAATGCCCCAACAGAGGGACTGCTGCTCATGTCATTTTAGGAAAGAGGACACTTTTAACAGAATGTGGGGGAGGATTTTTTAGGGGGAGGATATTTTAGACTTTGCTCAGTAGGTCATGGGGACGCCCCAGAGCAAGGTCGGCACTATTGACATTTGGGCCCAAATAGTTCTCCGTGGTAGGGCATTGTCCTATTCACTGACGGGTGGCGTGTCTCGCAGCATCCCAGGGCTCTACCCACGAGATGCCAGTTGCACCCCTCCCCCTCAGTGTGACAAACTAAATGTCCCCAGACAGTGCCAAGTGTCTTTGAAGGGAAATTGAGAACCAGCATGGTTGTGATTTTTGAACAGTGGAGAGATGCAATACGTACCTGGGGTGGAGTCATTTCTCTGGGAACCCAGAAAGGCAGGTGTGAAATGGGACCCTGCACACTGGGAGTTTAGAACCCTGTTGCCCCCCTTCCATGTGTCACTTGCTCAACACTCCGTCACCCCGCCATGCCAGCTGCTTTTAAAATAAGAACCAGTGTTGGCTCCTGGGTACAAATGACTTTTCCGATTTTTTTTCCCCATCTTTGGGGAAGGCTCAAAAGGTTGTTGTCTTCTAGGAGCCAGGGCTGCCACCAAACCTCGCTTTCACATACAGGGCGGGGACAGCTCAGAATCTTGAGTTGATTTAATCACGTGTGCTGTGTAGGAGTGAGAACCTAGGTCTCAGTCTTCTAAATCAGCTCTTCTCTTCATGAATAGTAATTGCAAAGTAGAATTTGAATCCACACCTACAACTCAATCTGCCATTCTTTTCCAGCATCCTGGCACTTGTATGGCACCAGATGAATCTAGACTCCAGGCAAGGGTGACATGCCCGCCCTCAGAAGAGTTCAGGTAAGTGAGATTCTAGGCTTTTCATTCATTTGTAGCCTTGTGCATCTTCCTTTGGACTTTTGTTCACTTAGCCATCACACACTGAGTGTCCGCTGATCCGAGCACTGTGCTAGCGACCATAGATTAAAAATGGCAAGACAATGTACCTGTCCCAAAAACTCTCTCAGATCATCCATCTATCCTGTATCTGAGAACATGAACCTGACATGTTACCCTGCACCTATTTAAAATCGGCTGTTTTCACTTTTACTACATCAATATCCAATAATGCCT